TTGGTCATAGTGGTATCTTCGGGCGTATTTTTCGACTTCTTCACTTCGGGAGCCAGAGTATGCCCAAGTGACTTCCTCTTCAGTGATGGTGGGCTTTTTGAGTTGTTGTTCGATAGTTCTGAACACCCATCCGTCTTCGTCGTCGACGTATACCCAGGTTCCAAGGGCTTGATATCCTGGATTGGGCTTTCTTTCTCCTTGCCACTTTTTGATTCCCTCTCTTTCCTCTTCGTCGAGGGTGTGGCATGTGGCTTGGAATCTTCTGATTGCTTCGTCGTTTTTGAACAGGAATTCTGGATAGGGGGTGATTCCTGTTTTTTCTTCTTGTTCCTTTTTAGCTTCTGTGGAGTGTGGCTTCTGAGGAGACTGGTTCTTCATCGGAGTCAGAATCAGAGTCCGCTTCGCCTTCCTGCATCCATAGAGTTGCAAACTTCCGCAGAATCCCCCCTCTTACGGTTCTTAAGACTCGCCGCATAATTTCTTTTATAAAATAAAGATCGCTTAACCGGTCGGGGGTTTTTGTTACCTTTTACCGCAGGTAATCTCAAGAGCTGGTCGACCGGCATCGACAATGGGAGCGGTGCACTCGATTGTGATTTCTTGTTGGTTGACTCCTTGGAGTACTGTTCTATTTCGTTTTTGGGCAGGCCTTTCCCTGCTATCCTTCGTCCTTTTTTACTTGGAGCGGTGTCAATTTGGTAGGCTCTTGCCCAATTGAAGATGTCGTACTGCTCCGGGGTTTGAATTGTGGAGCGGTTGTAGATGGCAGCGTAGATGATGAACGTTTCATTGGTAGTGAAAACTTGTCCAAATCGAAAGCTTGGTCATTAATCTTCTGTGTTCTTGTGAATTTACTCGTAGAACCGTGATGATGCATGTCTCATATGTACGCGAGCATGTGCAATTTGTTTAGAGTAGGGGTCATGCACGGAATTATTTGATGGTGAAGAATATGAAGAAGTCGAGGCAGTAATGTTGTTACCCACCGAACAGATTTTGTGATCTTAAAATTTGAAGTCAGGGGGTACAAATCACAGAGGGCGGGGTGCCGTCACCTTTTTCAATGATCAACCAATCACATTTCGGAATGAGAGTTTGCGAAACTAGATAAATAGTGGTTCTTTGCGTTGTTTATCGATCAGGTAAATATTGGCGTATCACTCATTATTCGTTAAAACTTACAGCATACTGGAGTTCGGTTTCAAAACCATCATTGATTACCTATTTAACTTATCTCTCACAAACAACTCTCGAAAGACAAGATTCAAAGTCAATACATAGTGAAACTGATAAGTCGGACAGCCCTGCCCGCCCCACCGTGTCCGACTTATCGAGTTTTACTGTGTACATATCAGAACTAATCACGATCAAAAAAAGTTGTAAGGAATGGGTAAACAATACGAAATAATCGAAGACGCTTGGCGAGTTTTACGGTAAGTCAGTTTTTGTTATGGTCTATAATACATGGCGTAGACATTCGTTGCGCGAATGTTGTGGCGTATAATCAACTAGTGTACTGGCTGCGGCTACGGATATGAAAGGCTGCAGCTCCGTTGATACATGCAATTGCTGCTCTATTAGCTAGTGTACTGGCTGCGGCTCAGCTATAGATACACCATGTATATTTTTTAGGTTTGAGTAGGTTTAGTTAGTTTAGAGTGAATTCGTACTGTTCATATTATAATTAATTTTCTACATTGAAATTTGGCAAGAGCGAGAAAACGTCAGAGAATGTGAAAAATTCCTGGGAAGACAAACATTTGAATCAGAAACTCTGTACATTAAAGAAGAAAACAAGGATTTTTATTTGAAGCAACTATAATTATTAATAAACATTTAGGCCGAAAGTGTTATAATTTTATGCAAACGGGAAACGAGCGTTTAAACGACGCGTCGAAAATAGTTTATTAATTTTCTGAAAAGAAATGAAGCAAAATATTATGAACAAGAAGAGAATAATGCTAATAAGGTAAAGAGATTTAGCTTTTTAAGATCTCAGAAACAGCACAAACGGTATAGCACTGTCCGCAAGCCCCGAAATGCTAATCCAACAATTTTTATAATTATTCGTATATACCAGGACAAATCAGCTACAAATAGCCAAAATTATAAGAGAAAAAGACAAAACGTTGAATATAACAGTCAAGACGAGTACACTACACCGAAGAGACGGGCACTCGCAATGATAAATTATATACGCCATCCGGAACTGATGATAGTGTTGGTGTCATAATAATTATATTTGTTTGTGTTTTTTTTATCGCCTCATTCTACAACCGACAAATCTACAAAGTATGTGAGCGATGAATCCGACGACGGAATGTGGATCAAAATTAAATGTAGAAGAAATTAGCTTTGATGAATTCACCGATCAACAAGACAAACCTGTAAGTGTTCCTACCGCAATCGATTGCAAGTGTGATCTCATCAATTTAATAGGAGTTTTCTAGTTTATTTTTAACGCAAAGAATATTTCATCATTATTCAAATATCTAAAAAATTTAAATCAACTTTTCAAAAATATGTCGAGGTACAATGCCTTTGTATTGTAATTTAAAATATCATTATTGCGCTTGCTAATAATTTTACAAAGATTGCGGACTGGATAAACTTTGAAAACTAATAATACAGTCTTATTCGAAAATGTTCGATAATAATAAGACCGAAGAGAATGTGCTTTTCCTGAAAATGCAATTATTGTTTCAACAACTGTAAGTATAATGACAATTAAGCCAGACCTTAGAATATTTGGTAATACTCATAAAATAATTTTTCAACTATTTTGCAGAGCCAGTAATCTTTCAGTGAGTACATTAAAAGAAAAAATCAGTGAAGGGAGTTAGTAGTATTAATAGTCACAAAATAATTAGTGTCTTTTCCGAAATTTTTGTCGATTATTTTCCGAAGACACATATAGTCACACATATTATTAAGTATCAGAGACATAAAAATCCAATTCAATCAGCAATTTTTCTGCTAGAGGAATATCAAGTAAAGGAATGCCGCCTACTCTGTCACATACGGCGGCTTGTACAACCCAAGAACACAATTTCTTTATCAAATTTAATTGGTTCATATGCAAAGAGACATGGTAGTTATTATATATTATTATTGGATTTGATTTTATAGAATCTTTATTGACAACTACAGAAAACTGCTAAAGCTGCTTTTAGACAGGTTATTGGATTTGAAGTGGAGGGTGGAATGAAAGTTTGGTGACACCAAGGTTGCCACATATGGAGTTGCATGGATGTCCCCTTTCCAGATGGATGTCCATGTTTGTGTTATGAACGTAAATAATAGGCTTTAAGAGCTAGAACGCAACAGCGAACGTGGAACCCACCACACAATTCAAGACTTGCTTTTTACTTAAATTAAATAGATAGTAATAGTAAACGTTTAATAATAACAACGCGAACGATCAATAATAATAGTGTAACCATTGCACCATATTTTAGACTATATTTGGATGATTTGCACACGACCCAATCATACTGCAGTCTTAATCATGTGACTGCCCTTTTTTTATTTTTATTCTCCTACAACATACTTTACTGACAAGGATGGCATTTCTAAGAAAACTTGTTCGACCTCGATTTCCACTCTCCCGCCTCTTTCCTCGGTTCCTATCAGATGCACCATCTTCGAAAACTCTTAAAATATTTTCAGGAGGGTCATTTGTTGATTTAAGACAGGAAAGTGGTTATTATTTGGATAAGACGGCTTTTATCTCTAAAATAGAAGATCTTAATGCTAGAGCGATACTCTCCATACGTCCTCGTCGTTTCGGAAAGACACTATTTCTCTCTACTTTTTCATCTTATTATGACATAAAAAACAGAGAACGATTCGAACAACTTTTCGGGGATTTATACATCGGCAAAAACCCTACACCATTGGCATCTTCATTCCTCATTCTGGACCTCAATTTTGCTGGACTTCGCACTAGCGAAACGTATGACGTCTTCAATGCGGACTTTCATGAAAGGTTGAATGAACATATGTCAGATTTTATGCGTAAATATCAACAAGAGTTGGGACATAGTTTTCAGATAAAAGAAAACGCTTTGGCAAATTTCGGAACGTTATTGAATGCAGTACGATCGAGTGGTCACAAGGTGCTTTTCTCTTGCTCAGTCATCATCTCTATTAAATAAAGAAAGTACAAAACTAATATTCTTTCGCGCCTTTAGCTCTATGTTTGCATCGATGAATACGATGCTGGTATGAACGAGGCCCTTAAAAATGAACCCACCTTACAACATCTTACCGCTCATCATAATTCCTCAGTTCAAAGTAAAATCAAAAAAATTGAGAGTTCGTTCAAACAATTCTACAGTCGTTTGAAGTATGCTTGTGATGCAGGTATAGCTCGTGTTTTCCAAACTGGTGTGACTCCCGTCGCTATGGCCGAATTCACCTCGGGGTTTAACATTTCGGAAGATTTGGCGCTACGAAGAGAATTTTGGGACTTGCATGGGTTTAAGAAGTCAGAAGTTGAACTTTTCTTGGACAACACTCTGGGTTTGTCATCTGATGTTAAAGAGGGGATAACAAAATGGTTAAAGGAGGAAAATGACGGATATTTTTTTAATCCTTATCAAACTGAAGGCATTTTCAACCCTGCGAGGATTCTTTATTGCATTAAACAAATGATGGAGCAAAAGGAATTTATAGACGAACGTATTCAGGATACTTCGATTATCATCAATAATCTTCTTGGCTTTCCTCCCGATCCGCAAACAATGCCCTCTCAAACAACATTGGACTTAATTGTTAACAATCCCCTTGGCAAATCCATCCTTACCGAGGCACTTAATCAATACCCTCTCGAATCTAGAAAAGGCATAGAACAACGATTTCGACTCACCAATATTCGCGATCTAGCAACTGATCGTACCCCGTTATTATCTTTCCTGTTCTATACTGGAGCCATCACATATCAACCAAACCCATCACCCACATCATTACAGCATAGTTTTCGAATTCCAAATTGTATTGCTAAAAGAGAATTTATCGCAGAGGCACTTAAAATTTATGACTGGAAGGAAGTCACTTGGGCATACTCTGGCTCCCGAAGTGAAGAAGTCGAAAAATACGCCCGAAGATACCACTATGACCAA